CACCGGTTTCTCTTGTGCGAAATATCAAATTATATGGACATGGCTTATTGCGGTTTTATAACTTTTTTGAGTGGACGATGACCAAATTACAGTAATAAATAAGAATAATCGTTTTTGGGTGCGTGTACGAATTCTTTCGTACGTGCATGCGGCGTATTAGCAGTTATGCTGGTCTGTGAGAATTTGAAGAGACAGACGTAACCCCCCCACAGCAACTTGTTTTCTCACCCCAATAGTAAAAAATCGGACGAGCAACGAAGTGTGACAGATACACTTCCGCGTCGGCCCTCATGTCAAGTGCCTGGGATACAAACCCAATCACGACTAACGCCCGCCGTACATCTGCTGTACAAATGCCGTACCTTGGAGTGGTGAAGCTGAAAGGCGGGCGTCACCCAGGCGCCCGAGGGGTTGGAGATGCCTGGCAAGAGGGTTAGGTGTGTAGATGGAGAGGCAGCGGGTTAATGAATGTACAACATATGTAACACATGGACATGGACACTACATATATACAGCAACGCGATTACAGAGGGCGAGGGTGAGGGCGAGGGTGAGGGTGTGTTTACCACGCGAACTGAAGAAGGTTACGGTAAACGCTGCCAAGATGTCAGACCACCCGGGTACAGGAGGAAGATGGGGGCGAGAGAGGAACCCAGAACGCCCACACCCCATCAATATTCCTGATGCAGCAAAAACAAATTGTCTTCTCCTGGACTCTGAACTATACATCCGTCTTGCAGTCTGGTATCTGCTGCATTCGCGAGTGGTTCGTCTTACCCCACCCCACCCTTCATCCCACCCCACCCTTCATCCCACCCCACCCTTCACCCTTCACCCCACCCCAGGGGGCTCCTCACCCGACCAGTTGAACGAGCCCAGACGCGCTGAGCACTTGGGACAGTGCAGCTTGCCCGCCACCACACCAGTCACAGTGCCCGCCATCCATTGCATCGGCTGTACGAACAAACAGGACTCCGCGCCGCCGCCGCCGTCAGCCGCCGCCGTAGCGGCGGCGGCGCTGCCGTCATCACCCCGCGTCAGTCGGAATCGGCTTTGCCGGTCCCGGAATATACGGTGACCTTGACAGACAGACAGACAGACAGACAGACAGACGTTAAGACACAACGGATTCCTTTAGGTAATTATTTTTTGTTGGTTTGGTTTTTTCTGCAACAGGGTCAGGTCTTACGAGTCACATCGTTTACAACGACATTACCTGCCAGCCACCTAATATAACCACCCAGGACCCAACCAACCGAACTATAACGACCTACCCATTGCGGCTTCAACCGGCATCACGTGCTCTGACGTCGCCAGTAGTGTACGGCATTTACGACATCGGTACAGTGTCTGCTGCGCCGCTACCGCTGCCGACAGACCCGTGGGTCCCTCGGGCAGCTGTCCGAACGCCACTGGATCGACGAAGCCCTGCTCCTCCCACCTACTCGCCAACTGCCGGGGAAAAGGAGGGGAAATACACACGCATAAAACACACACAAGCACCGCCACACAAGCAGTAAAAAGTGCTAAGGCGTCTAAAACAATAACTTTTTAATGTTTTTTCCATGGAAGGAATACCGTAAAACATAGAAGGATAGAAACCTCAAACTTCATATTGTGCGCAAGCATACACTGGCCGCCTTATTTCAAGCATGTGCAGATGTATGTACGTCTGTATGTGCATACATGCACATACATGCATACATATATGTTTCGGCTTCGGCCCCCGGCTCTCGCGGCCTACAGTGTAATCTAAGTCATACATACATACATACATACATACATACATACATACATACATACATACATACATACATACACACAACAGCACTTGCACGCACGCCGAGGCACCACAGCAGGGTTCGACACTGACCTTCCCGAAACTTGCGGGCTCCCCCGTACCTCCCAAATTTTCCTTACGGAGGGGCCCCCGTACCAGGCTCCTGTACCGGCCGAAAACCTTACGGGGGCCCCCGTAACCCCCGCAAAACCTTTACGGGGGCACTGTCCTTGGCTGAAACGCTGTGGAAAGTGACGCTTTGCATTTTTTTGCCCTGTAAATCGTTATTTTCGTTATTTTCTCGTGAACCATTACACTCGGGGACACGGCACACTCAGCGAAAGCCAAGCGCCTTGGCCGCCGCGGCCGCCCATCCCTTCTGCTCCTCTTTCTCGTCCTCCTGATCCTCATCGTCATCAAAATCCTCATCCACGCACGACTCATCGGTATCTCGTTCTACGTCGGTCTCGTAGTCACTGTCACTAAAAGCCTCATCGCCACTAGCGGGGTATGTTGCTTGTACCAGTACTTCAATCTCTGGGTCAGTCGCAACCTCCTCAGTATCATCCTATCCGAGGCCCTTGGTCACCTCCTGACGACTCATTGTCTGCCATCGCTGGATGTCACAGACCAGAAGTTATAAAAGTATTATGAAAAGTGTAGTTAAATATTGCAATATGAATTATATCTGCCAAGAGTGTGGCCTTATCCATTATATGGTCAGGGGACTTTACGGGCCCCGTACGGCCTCTTATAAATCCTTAAAATCCTTACTGGAGCCACCGTAACCGGCCTTCGGCCGGTCCGGGGGCGGCCCCGTACGGGGACGCTTCGCGCCCCAAAATCCTTACGGGAGCCACCGCAAAGTCCTACGGGCCCTGACGGGGATACCGAAAAAAGGCCAAAAACTTACGGGCCCCGTACGGGGTGCCGAACCCTGCACCACAGCAAATAAGAAGATAACAAAACGGTGTAATGCTGAAAACCCCAAAACACCCCAAAACACAACAGCCCCTTAGGCTTTCAGCCCCACCAACCCCAACCCACCCCCCACCCCCAGCATCACTCCGAACCCACCTCCTGAAGGCACCACATCTTATACACTGGGTGCTCCGGAACCAAACTGCACTTCATATCCCCGAACAAACTCAGTTGGGCCCGGAACCCCTCGTTGGGGTCCACTGCCGGTCGCCGCGAGCCCAACAGCCGAAGGGCCTCATCCGCGGACAAACCTCGACTGGGGGGGGGGGAGAGAGGGGGAAAGACGAACCACACACGATTGAAGCTGCTGCCAGGGCCAGAGAGTAGCAAACGTAAAAACTGGAGAGAAGGGCAGGCTCGGAGAAAAGGCTACGCGGGGACATAGGCGCAGGGGGGAACAGAGGGGGAGGCGGGGAGAGAGGGGGAAGGGGGGAGAAAGGGGGAGGGGGGGATAAAGGGGGAGAGAGGGGGAGATCGCGATGAGGGGGGAAAGACGAACCACGTGAACGAGTGAAGCTGCTGCCAGGGCAAGAGTGTACCAGACCTAGAACTGACCAAAAGGCGTTCTTGAAGATGCGGGACCTCGGGATGACGTAGTGAAGAAGATGTCGGAAAACTACATACCTAGCCGCCAAGACTAAAATAAGTGCGGAAGAAAAGCAGTAATGCCAAGCCGTAAAGCAGTGAAGGTAGGTGTAGAGGCGGCGGAAAAGAAGTGGAAAACTGCTGACGTGAAGCTGGAATAAAGTTTGCCGCCGGCCTGGCGGCGGCATTGACGAGGTTTGGCCAAGAACTGGCTGATTAGCTGGTAATAAAAAGCTGGTGATATGCAAGTGCTCCTCCCAACCCCCCAAAAAACGCGCGACCGACCCGACCGACCCAACTATCCTAGTCCGGCTAGCCGACCGACGCAACGCGATATATACCGACAAAGCTCGAACCTCCTTCAGACTCACCTGGCCAGGCAGCAGAAGTAGCGGCAAAGACACATGCGAAGGGGATAAGGGGGGGAAAGACGAACCACACGCGATTGAAGCTGCTGGGATAAGGGGGGGAGTACGAGGAGCAGCGTACACAGGAGGAGGAGGAGGAGGAGGAAGTGAAGGAATAATAAGGAAAAACAACTGCTACTGCTACTGCTGGGGGTGGGGTTGAGGGTAGGCACTGCGGACGTAGGGGGAGGTGGTGATAGGGGGTAGTATAGATGCAGTACGGGCCCTGCTTCTTGCGTACGATACCCTTTCCCCCTTTTACCCCCCTCCCCCATTCCCCCGCCGTAGGGGCCCCCGACTGCATCGATCCTTTCTCCCACGTTTGGATTTTATTCACCACCACAACCATCACCATCGCGTTGCAGCTCCTGGACTCATGAAGGGCTAAAACCGTTGAAATCTAACCAACCAACCAACGAACCAACTACCTGCGCATGAGCCAGGCCGCCACTACTGCTGGGCTGCGAGATACCCCCGCCTGGCAGTGCACCAGCACACGGTAGCTAACACCACTGCTACTGCCGCCGCCGCCGCCGCCACTGGAACCGCCGCTACTGCCGTTGTTGTCCACGACGCCATCCTCTCCTCCTGCTGGCGGCGATTCTGCTGCAGCCATCGAAGCTCCGGCTGTTGAAACAGCCCCTGCTACCGTTAGTGCTACTGCTTCCGAGGCGGAGGGTGCTACTGCGCTGGTGGAGCAAGGACCAGCGCCGCCCGCTCCAGCAGCAGCAGCAGCCGCAGTAGTAGTTGTAGTTGTAGCTAAGGGCAGAGCCGCATCCAGAAACTTGATGGCGGCTGGCAGGTACTGCAACATGTTGGCATCTGGGGAGTCCTGAATGCGTGTCCAGGTAGTTAGTTAGTTAGTAGTGAGTTGGTTAGGTAGGTAGATAGGTAGGTAGGGAGGGAGGGAGGGAGGGGGGGGAAGGAATCAGGAGATAACGTCATTCGCCAATAGCCGACCAAATTACGAACAACTAAGCGCAGAGGCGCGCGCGTGTGTGTATGTATGTGTGTATGTGTGCGTAGTGATTATCCAAAGAGCCAGAGGGACAGGGGGGAGATGTCCGGGGGAAGGGGGATATGTCATATGCTGCAAAGTCAACGAAAGCCGGGACCATGACCTACGGCGGCACGCAAAGGGTAACAAAATACCCTCGGCGAGGGCCCGGGGAAGAAAACACACACACCCACGCACGCACACACGCATGAGGTTACCCGGGGGGAATGTTCGGGGGAGGGCTCGGAAGAGGGCTCGGGAGAGGGTGTGGGGTTAGCCGCGTACCTGGAGTGGTAGTTGAAGTGTGAAATAACCGCCGAGGTCTTTTTTAAGCGGGAAGTTCAGCACGGACTTCCCGACCAGGCGCGACATGGCGGGTAGAGGTGGGCGGATGAAATGAAAGTGTTGGGGATTGGGAGGTGAGAAATTGGGGTGGAATTGACGTGTGGGAGCGCGGGTGCTTGGGGGCCGTGGGTGCTGGGTATGTACAGTGGCCGGGGGGATGGTAAGGGATGGTAGGAGGAGAGCGGATGTGCTGGAATGCCGGGTGCACGGGAGAAAGGGGATAAGGGGCATGAGCTGAATAGCCTGGCTGTGAAGAGTGTAGGATAGGTGGGAGACCGTTTCCTTGGCAAAGAGCATGGTACGGTCGTGAGTCATGCACCACATCTTAGCGGCGCAGCGTGCGCTTACAGCCATCTATGGTTAGCTGTAGCCCGGATGCGCTTTCATGTGCTTCTAATACCCTGCCTCACCAGCACGTGTGTAATGCCCAGAGCTTCGAGGTATTTGAGGCTGGACAGCCCGCCGACGTACAGGCCTGCGGTTGATTGCCAACCAGCGAAGGTAAAGAATTTGCAAGCTAAGTGAAGTCAAAGTCTTTTGTTCTCATACCAGGTAGGATTTCAGAGACCTCGGCCTCCATGGTCAATGCGCGAAAGATGGCAGCTGCAATTAGCTGCCGCAGGAAAACAATGGTGACTTGGGTCGCAAAATAAGACTCTACAAGCTGCCTATAGGTTCAATTATGATGACATTATGATTATGGAAGAGCACAGGGACGGCGTTTCAGACTTGCGAGAAGGGGGGTGCGCTCCGAAGCCGATGTTTCTTTTATTTTCTGTTCCATTAATACTCGGTTTCCATTCCGGCAGCTGCGAAATGACGACATAGTTCCGATGGCTCTAGTCCTGTGCGTACCTTGGTGCCGTTTGATGACCGACTTGCGCCACGAATCATGCATAACGGTGGCCCTAGTATAATGACGTCCGAGCCACCTCTTCTTTGTCCCTCGACACATGTTTATGAAAGGCTATCGGAAGTCGGAAGCCCCCTTACGGGATCTCCACCAGACGGGTACCGGCACTTCCCCTTAGGTGACGATAGCGACAGTGACAATGGACATGACTACTATGCAAATCGGGGAAAGGCACCATTAACGTGGCTGGACCGCATTCGAAACTTTGGACAGAGAACACCACCGCCCGTGCAGAGCAATTATCTAACGCTGATTCCCTTGTCAGGTGACCCGTGCTTGCCTTACGAGCTCGCGTGTCGCCTCCGTTGATTTTCATAAAGTTTGCCCATTACAACTCTGTAGATGACAGGCTCAAACCGCGGCGCACGGCATGGCTAGTCTCCTGCCTGGTATGTGTTGCCGATGTGTGTGTGTGTGTGGTTGTTACAGTGGGCTCCAGACTCACGAAGAGTAGAGCCAGCGGGCCATCTGGCCGTGCACTGCATTAGAGACTAATATACGCCGATGTGTTTGGCCACCCATCAGACGGTTGATGCCTATAGCTGCTTTGGGGACCAACCGGGTGGCCATCCAAGAAAAGACGACCTCCAAATCGACAAAGTCAGCCATCTCGTCACAATCCCTAAAACCCACCCTCTAGGAGGTTCTCCTGGATTATACAGAAAACCACGCTTCAAATTCATATGCACTTTTATACTTACCAGCTTACCAGCTTTCGCTCAGGCTTACGCCGCGTTCCCGTCGTGCTCCGCGCGCTCGTGGTGCACCTTGCTATGCAGCTGCTGTTGGCGGTTGTTCTTGCAGCAGGGGTGTTCTTTGCCGTACCTCGAGGGGTAACCGTGGGGAGCATCCAGGTACGGTACGGCACAATACGACAGCTGTACATGTCACGCGCAGCAGCTGTAGAACGGCGTCGGCAGGGCTGGGTTGCAAGCAATCTGCACGCAAATTACAATTCCAAGAGTGCCTTTAGGTTTCACGCAACCTCGTGTACGTGAACTGAGATTAAAAAATAGCAGCAGCAACAACAACAACAATATAGTTGCCGCCGTCCCATTCTTCCATTGCAATCCGTATTGGCATTCATGCCGTACGTGCTGTACTGCATGTACGGATAGACTGTTTGCACGACTGGTACGGCAGGTTCGCTCCAGCCGTATGTCCTTCAACGCCAGCAAGTCGACGTATCAGATCATCCTCACGGCCACCATCCCCATCTTCAACCCGAATTACATGCCGGTGAGCATCTCCAGGAAGTCGAGAGTATGTGTGTGTGGAGGGGACGGGGGGTTGGGGGGAACATATGCCGCCTAACTACGACGTGATGACGAAGTTATCTTAAAACCCTAAGATCGCTTAGCTTTGCTTTAGGCCTGAGTACTGATCAGCTGACTCGTGCCGACCCTCTTACATGTAATGCTTCCCCTCCAACACCACCTCCTCCCCCTCCAACGCCACCTCCTCCCCCTCCAACGCCCCTCCAACGCCACCTTCCCCCCCTTCCAACGCCACCTCTTCCCCCTCCAACGCCACCTCCCCCCCCTCCAACGCCCTCCTCCCCCGCCAACGCCACCTCCTCCCCCACCAACGCCACCCCCTCTCCCTCCAACGCCATCTCCTCCCCCTCCAATGCCACCTTTCCCCTTTCCAACGCCCCTCCTCCCCCGCCAACGCCACCTCCTCCCCCTCCAACGCCATCAGGTTCAGGTCAGCGGCAGTCTGGTGGTTTCATTCTACGATCAGCAAGCTGGTGTCACGGGGCTAGATCCAGTTAACGTGCCCGCCAGGGCGTTTCCGAAGGTGAAGGGGGGAAGAGGGATTTGTGGAGGAGAAGAGGAGGGGGCCTGGCAACTGCATTTCGGATCCAGATTTGGATTCTGGAACTCCAACTTTGCATTTGGGTTTGAGACTGTTGGATGGGATGAGGCGTTAAGAAGATAGAGTTGAGAGCTGTTTAGTATCAACAGGGGTGGTAGACAGGTTATCTGGTGGGGCAGGTGGGAGGATGTACTCGCGTGGTGTTTGGCGGCATCTTCGTTCTGGATGGGGCCGCCGTCTTCCCCAACCCAGATTCATCCCCTTGCACCCACCATCTCATCTTTCCAATGATTCTTCCTCCAACCCGGATCCACCATCACCCGATGTGAGCATCATCATCATCATCATCATCATCACCGATTTTTGCGATTCACCATTGCACCCACCATCACCCCGCACGGGGGCATGCGACCCACCATCGCACTCAACCCACGAAAGCGCACCCACCCACCCAACACAACTAAACCCAACTCACCCCAACCCTTCACCCCCCACCGGCGCACACCACCCAGATCATCACGGTGGACATGGATGCGAGCAGCGTACCCCAGGAGTACGTCTTCACAATATACACCCATTGCACCACATTTCCCATGGAAACTATTTTCTTCCTCACAGGCAAACTCCAGTCTAAATATCTGGGCGGGCTGTTTCACATCCCAGACATCGACAATTACTTCATCATCTCATGCACAAGCCCGCCCGATCGAAAATCAGAACCACCGCGCCTGCCGACACGGCCCGCCAAGCCGCCACGGCTGCCCCCTAGGCCTCCGAAACCACCCAGGTTCGAGTCCAGTGCGGCCGGTGTTGAGGAGGAGCAGCCCAGAGGGAGCGAAGATTGGACGGAAGATGTGGTGGTTTAGGGTTTGCACGGCATGGATTTGGGTTTGTACGGCATTAGGGTTGGTTTCGTGCGGGAGCTGCGGGCAGTGTGCGGGTGTGGATTGTGTGGATTGTAATGGCAGTAGTGCAACTAGGCTTGAGGGTTGCATTCCAGCAGCTTCGGATTGCGGAAGGAAGTTGCAGTAATATTTTGGTTGAAGTAGTAGAAAAATGGTAGTAGTAGCAGGTGGTAAGGTTGGTGCATTATCTTTTGAGACCTTTTTTCACGTGCTCCTGAACCGCTGTTGTTGCGAAAAATGCCGGTGTTGGGGAAGTAGAGGTTTGGATCAAGGTGAGATATGAACAGGAGCAGGCGGGTCTAGGACAGGCAGGTTTAGGAAGAAGTTAGTAAAAGAGGAGATATATAGAAGAGATGCGGAAGGATTTATGCTTGTGGAGATACAAAAAAATATTTTTTGGGTTGTTGTTAAGTATCGAAGGGATGTGCTAGCAGAGCGGTGGAGTTTTTGAGGATTTTATTTGCGAAAATTATAATTTAGAAACATTAGAAACATGTACGGGAACATGTACGGGAAACGGAAGGGCTGGGGGGGCTGTTATCAGATGCGCCATGTATCGTTGAGAGCTCTCGCCGTCCTGTAAGACGGCTGATTGAACGATTGAGCATGTGGGGCAGGCAAAGAAGCTAAGGGACGGTAGGTAGGGGTGGTAGGCAGGTAGGCAGGGGCGGTAGGTAGGTAGGTAGGTAGGTAGGTAGGGGCAGTGGTGCGGTGGAAATTGGACGAGGAGAATCAGTATCCGACCGTGCAGCTGCGGGAGACGAAGGGAACGGCTTTAGATTTGCAGCTGCAGGGCGGTGGGGGTTGCCCGCGCCGAGAATAGAGGCCGATGGTGGGTGCAACGGAGGACTGTATGAATAGACCTCATCACAGTGCAGCTGGTGATGGTGATGGTGGTAGTGTGTGATATGCGGTGTGCTGGGGGGGGGCTGTCGTACGGCACATTTTTGCGCTTGTGGTTGCGAGGTGCTCCCCATGGGGTGGGTACACCACAGAGGTGAGGTTTTCATGCGCCTGGAAACTGAAGAAGGGGGGGGGAGGGAAATTCAACGAGTTGATAATAGCTATGATGACGACAGACCAAATCTTCGTTGGGTGTTGAGTAAATTGTGGGATGGTGATGACGATAATGATGGTGATAATGATAATAGTAATTATAGTAATAATAATAATAATAATAATAATAATAATAATAATAATAATAATAATAATAATAATAATAATAATAATAACTAATAAAAGGTGCCCGTGCGGCGGCGTTTGTGTGTGTGTATGTTGTTACAGGGTGATATAGCTTCACCAGCGGCCCCCTTTCCCGAGGCAGTTCCCTGCTCTCCCCTGCGCGACGGGCACCCTTAATAGTTCACCCCATCCGACTTCAGAATGTATTTGTTGGGATCAGCAACCCACCACCAGCATCCAACCCAATCTAGCGGATCAACGGCGCTTCAACTTAGTTCCAGCTCGCAAGTTGATATCATCACGTCCTATATCGTCCATTAGATGGGGGACCACCTCCCATTTCAACACTCCTCAAACACACGAGGAGTCGGCAGGCGGATTTGAACCCGGACACTCCGGCAGCAGAAGTCAGGCCTTAACCTCTGCCAGCCGCCTCCCTGTGAATGTAAATGTTTGGGGGGCCCCGAGGAGTGAGGGGAGGGGAGGGGAGGGAAGGGGGTTTGCGGGGTTGTTTATGCGTTGACGACGAAGGTGCTGATGGCCACTTTGGGACTGAGCTGGGCTGGGGCTGCGTCCGGACGAAAATGCACGGATAGTTCAACTGTCTGTCCGTGTTATCGCGCATCACACTGTACCACTACACCACCATGCAGAAAGAAAATGAAACGCAAGTGCAAAAAAATGGCTTCACGGGTTGCGCAGGTATTTCAGTTTTGTAAAAGTACGGAGGGGTCTAGGCTGTTGTTACCGCATGTGTACGACCGTGTACGGTGGAGCCAATATAGTTTTTTTCATACCTCTGGCTCTCTCTCTCTCTCCATCTCTCTCTCTCTCTCCCTTTTCTATGTAATGCTTTTTTGACAACATTGGAGCTTTCCTCTCTTTTTCCCTTTCTGCAGCTAACTCGAAATCTCGGTTTGGGGCAGGGGGACGTATGAAGAGCTCGGCTGCGTGCTTGAAGAGAAATTCCGTTCTTCGCGCGCCGTCACCGTCGCAAGCCAACTGGATTGTACGATTTACAGTTAACGCGCGAGCTGATGCACCACAAAACAACCTGCCTGCACATGGTTCTGGTGCATCGTTGGAGTTTGGACACGTAGCCTTACTGCTTGCTCTCGTCTTTTTGATAATGAAAAGGCCCTCACGATCCGCACAGGCGACACCCGTCCGACTGATTGACTTGAAAAGAAAAAAGGAAAACAATAAGGGCAAGGGTTCTTAGGATGGCCTTTTCTCCAAGCGTTGCTTTTGGTCGCTTTTGTACGATACCAAGGCACGACCTCCAAAGCATGTTGCGCTGTATACTCTGGGGGCTTCTGGGCTGGTGGCCGCGTGTCCTGTCGGAACAACGGGGAAAATCCTTCCGCACCCGATATGAAAGAATGTGCGTTGGCGTTTGGCATCGCGGTGTTTGATGCGAATTGCTGTGAGGTTAAGATGGAGTGGGCATTGGCTGCAATCGTGCTGTTATACGCAAAGGTCGTCATACATGATACTATTCACCGAACACGCTGGCGGTCATCATGGCGTTTGCTTACCTGAGGACCGTCTCTGGTTGTGACCTCGACTCGCGGCTCGGATCAACTCGTTTCTATGAATTTAGGATAGCACCTATGGGTCCGGTATATGAACCATAAATATACTCTATTTATGACAAAGCAATTGCCGTTCAATATACATACGATGAGTGGCGGAGATTTGAAAAACGGGCAGCGATAACCCGACACAACCACAATCAACTACCTAGTACGGAGCTACGGTTGCGCATTGCGGAGGTTGCCAGGCTCTAGAGGTCTTGCTGGCATCCGATGTAGTAAATGGTTTTATAATATTTCGCATTCGTATTTGAGGTGATATTGCTGCAAGTGGAGAACTTTCCGAGAGGACTTCAGGGCTACCAGTCAGGAAGTCTTTTTCCCTTGCATACCGCCCGAATGCCATCGCATCTATGAACTGCATAAAATTCCACCAGGAGGGGTTATCCATGGTGCAGCGACTGTCTGCTGGCGGGCTTCCATGCGCACCATTTCGGCGTGGACAGGCCATCTGCAAGGCAGTCCTGCAAGGAGGTTACGTCGGCAAATCAAGCCTCAGTAAAAGGGTCAATAGTGAGAGCACGGAACAGCCGCTCATTCGCCAGCCCTCGTCACGAACGGACAAATTGAACAAGGATCAGCTTGCAGCTGTGCTCGCCTCTGAGCAAACCGTCCGAGTTCAAGTATGTCGCGTCCGTGCGTGCAACAGTTTCCTATCACGGTTTCAGAGAATAGCGACCTTGTCAAGGATGGCGGGTAATTAGGTGCGATTTGGGGCCTTTCTACACACGGCGACAGCCTTGCGCACCATGTAAATCCTTGCCGCCATACACGCATAGCATGCGGTACAACGACGATTGCTTTCTTCCCCGTCGTTCTCCCTCTCTCGGGCGCATTGTAGCCCCTAAAAAGCGAATAATCGTGGCACAGCCGACACCCCTCTGTAATCATGGCGCGCGCTCTCCGCACCGACATGCAGGCGGGTCCTGGGAGTGGCAAGACGCGCGTTGTGGCGGCCCGAGCGCAACACCTCATCAACGAGCGAGGCGTTGAGGCCCGCCGCATCTTGGCAATTACCTTTACCAACAAGGTATCCGAAATTGGGTATATTCAAAACTAGAAAGATGCTGGAGATTGACCAACGAAGCTCCGCTCTTAGGCTGTCTAAAACACAGCACAAAGGGCCACCTGCGAGACATATCATCAGCACCAACAAAGCGCAGGAGAGAACTGAGTTCCACCCATCTCCATCAGGGTTGGACAGGACCTTCCTGAAATGGTCGGGTTGCCGGTTTTTCCCTTCCCATGCCCGTCGGGCCCACCCGATAGCGTTTTTGCATATCTTTCAATTTCTGTCGGGTGCCCCGATAGCCCATCCCAAAACCTGTCGGGTGACGCAAGAGCGAAATTTCGCTGTGTGCCGCTTGAAATTACATTTATTCGTATTTTATATGCGCAGTTTCCAGTTCTCAGTTTGCAGTTCACAGTTCTGATATGCACGAACAAACACACACACACACACACACACAGCAACACATGCACGCCTGCACGTCTGCCTGTGAGCATCAAGCTGTTTTGGTAAAGCCCACAGACTTACAGGACGAGGCAGCGAACGTTCGAAAGGGTAATGTTAGGCTGCATATGGTCTTTGTATTAATTGTCAATAAGGTCGAGATAAGGTAGTGTGCCCTTCGCTTATGTATCCAAGCATGGATCCCTGTACAGCAGAGTCAAAGGATAAAGAAGAAGAGGCAACGAAGTGAACGAATGCTACCACTACATTACATATTTCCATCCAGTTATATTTTTATGAATGCCATTATGTATCGCTGTAGCTGTCCGTCGCCGAATGGCCCACCGACGACCCACGGCACCCGATCGGGTGGTCCTAGCGCCCCTAACCCTTTCGGGTCCCCCGACGAGAGCCCTCCGGGCCCCGTCGGGGGCTCCCGATGGGCGTTTGGCATTTCCCCCCTTTTTCGTCGGGTCCGCCCGAAAGCATTTTTCAAAGCCTGTCGGGATTTTCAGCACAAGTGCCATTCCTGTCGGGACCCGATCGGACTGTCGCACCCTGATCTCCATCCATCCATATCATATCAGAATATTATATATTATATAATATATTATATAATATATAGTATATAATATATAAAATATATATTATATTATATTATATTATATTATATTATATTATATCACATTATATAATTATTATATTACAACTGAATAGTCAGTGCTAGCCCTACAACAACTCATCCCCAAACGTCCAGGAGATGACACGAAATGGAATACAGGCTTGCCCGGCCACGTGAACACGCGCAAGCTGTACGGCATTATGCCGTACCGGTTACTCCTCCCCAACACCCCTAAGTTACACAGGTGAAGAACGACCTTCCCCCCCAAAACATGTTCCCGCCCTTCCACTTCCTCATGCACATTTACACATGCATGTGCGTCTCAACTCAACATTTCAACATGTTAACTCGCTTATTATGTTGCCACTACCGCCACCAAAGGCAACAAGAGAGCTCCAGGAGCGCTTGGATACGGCACTAAATGACCGTGAAGCCCAGATCACAGATGTGTACGACTCAGCGGTACGACACGGCGAAGCCACATCACCGCATCAGCATGATTATCAGCAGCAAAAGCGTGATGGTCTGCCATCTCACAAAACTGTACTTTCAAAAACATTTCACGGCCTGGGATGCTACATTCTGAGGTACGACACGACGCGTCCAAGGTTTTTAGGGATGTACGGCAGTTGCTGCTGCTGTCGCTGTTACTGTTGCTGCTGCAACTGCAACTGCCGATATTGTTATTGTTAGGACGGTAAAGAGATAGCAGTGGTTTGAGCAGCGCAATGGGCCGCGCGTCTAAAACCCCGGACATCATGATGCGCTTTAGGCCTTAGACGGGCTCTACAGGCGCCGCGAGCAGAAACTGGCGATGGAATGTCATAGCACGAGAGCAGCCTAACTGATGAACGTCGTCTAGCAGAAAAACTGGGGCATCCGGCACCTATGCACTAGGGTGGTAAAGTGCGAATGGGTTGGCAGGGGGCTGCAATGATCGCATGTATGACCGAATGTACGTGTGTGCGTGTGCGTGTGTATGTATGTATGTGTAACATAACACCGGCCTCTGTTCTCGCGCTTGGCAGGCGAAGTCTCGAAATGCGGCCGGATTTGTCTTCAAGGGTGGGGGGCTTGAGCCGTACCTTCAAGGTCCTAGGCTGCAATGAGGTAGGAGGAGGAGGAGGAGGAGCCTTGGAGTGCTCTGCGTATGTATGTATGTGCGTGCATGTACACGTATGGCGACACGTAGCTGTTTGTCCCCTGTGTCCCCGGCTCCTTCCCGTCTCCCCACTCCCGCCCACGTCCCTACCTCTGCAGAAGCAGCTTGTAAAACTATTTCGACCACACCGTTGTCCTTCCCTCTCCTTTTCCCTTCCTTGCGCAGAGGGATAAGGTGCTTGAGAATGCGGTGATGGCAGTGGAAGCAGGAGAAGAAGAAGAGGAGGAGGAGGAGGACGAGGCACCGCAACACAGCGCTAGCAGCAGCACTAGCAGTAGCAGAAGCGGCGGCGGCGGCGGCAGTAGCAGTAGCAGAAGCGGCGGCGGCGGCAGTAGCCATACTCGTGTTTGGACGCCGCTGAAAACCTCCGAACGAAGGGCCCTGGTGGATAGGCTCACCTGGCTATTCAGCGAAAGCAAGATGGCCCTGGCAAGTTCGGATTACCTGGGAAGTACGGCACGTGCCATGTCCGTAGGCGTGGTGAGGGATCGAGTGAACAGCCTACTGCGGGGGGCAGATTGGAGAGGGATGGCGATGGCGGTTTCGGAGCGGCTGGATTCGTCTGAGCGGCTTCAGGCGTACTTTACTGCATTTGAAAAGTAAGTGCAGGCCCATGGGTTTATGTAGGGTTCTAGGTTTTATAAATAGATTTTGACTTGTTTTGCTTTAGACTTGAGTTGGGGTAGGGAGCTTTAAGGGGAGGGCAGGTTAATTTGGAAAAATTGTTATCCCGGGAAAACGGGAAGCGTTCCTGAGCGGGATGGGGTTATGTGGCGGGAAAAGGATGGTCGTTGGGTTTATGCGTATGTGATGGAATATGCAGATTGCGTGGTTGCCAGGGCAAGGACGGGGACAGGCTAATACGCAACAAAAACACCTTGTCGATAAATGATCTGCATAAAATGATGATGTTGTCGATAAATGATCTGCATAAAATGATGATGTTGTCGATAAATGATCTGCATAAAATGATGTCTTGAACGATTCCCGATGATCTTTGAGCCACCGCTCTTAAGAGATGAAAGATCTCGTTTTCATGCCATCAGGAGAAAGCAGCGTGCAATCCGGCATTTCTTGCGGCTTCAGGCACCTTCGGCGAAACAACGCGGTGGACTTCGCCGATCTGATATGTTTGCCCGTACGACTTCTCCGCGTTGACCAGCAGTTACGAAACTCGTGGCGGGCGTCGTTTGACCACATCATCGTGGACGAGTTCCAGGTGCGAGAAATTAAGATCCAGGATTGCCTAAATTGGAGGTTCCCGCGGCTTATTATTAGGTCATTTGAAGGCATGTACGAACACTTTTGGATCTTGTACCGCAGTTCAGCTCAGTTAGTTCATCAATAATATAAAATAATATAAAATAATAACATTGAAGCACACAGGTGAAGTTGCGCACGTAACATCTCTCCAACTCTTCCGCATTGCGGTCCATGTCGCAATTTAAACCCCGAAACCCAAAAACGCCACTACGATCGTTTCACAATTCATGTTAAGCCCTTCATTCACACAAAAAATTGCAGGATGCGGACCCAGCACAATATCAGTTTGTACGACTGCTGTTAGCCAGGTCCTCGAGCCTCTTCGTCGTCGGAGATCCCTCCCAGGCCATTTACGGCTGGCGGGGTGCTGAGGTAAGGAGTGTACGACACCTCAACTTATGCTAATCTAAAGTGTGTACGACACCTCACCTAAAAATGTCAGGTCATTGCAGTCGTTTCATGTACGGCCCGTACTACTACGATGTTTGGTAGAGAGCTCACTGTTGCGGGTGTGTAGTACTCAATAACCTAGTTGCTTTGTGGCGTGCCGCGATCAATTAAATTGATATGCGTTAATAATTCTTAAATAGGACTTACATCGGATATTTGACTTTGAAAATCAAATTAAATCAAATTTAAATGGATTTTCCTTGAATCTGCAGGTCAACAACATGCGGAAGCATCTCGTTCAGGATTTTCCCCGCATTGCGACCTTCCACTTACCCGTGAACTACAGGTGCGTGGTTTTCAGTTTTTTAGCGTGTGGAAGTTGTCGTACTGTCCGCGTGCGTGTGCGTGCATATGTATATGTACGTATGCATTTATATGATTCTGGTCTGAGCCGGAAAAAGTACAGGTGACTGAAGACAAGTAATCTAGCCATGAACGAGTAGAAGATAGCTGAACTGTTTTTGAAATCGCAGCTAGGAAGAAAGATGCCAAAGCGAAAAATAGCCGTCGTCGTAGAGGCGATGGACTACTGGCTGGTGGTGGGCGGCTAAATTTGAGTAGAAGCGAATGAGTAGTAAGTACGAAACGACTTCTCGCGTCCCAAAACTAAAGAGAACTCTGAACCGGAATTATTGCTATTGTCCGGTCATAATAAAACGGGCGTACAAGGGGAAAAGAGGGGAGAAGTCTTGCGCCATCAACTGTGTGCGCGATGCCGGCGAGGGTAGGCAAATCTTGGGTGGGGCCCCTCGGGGCATAGGACACGAGGAAGCTGTCCCTTAAGTGGGTGCGAATTGTTGACTACTGCTGAATCAGCTGTGAATCAAAGGGAGATCAAAGGACGTCTGCGGCAGCGTTTTTTTTAAGTAATATATTCCTTAAAAGGAATAAACAGGCATTTTGGCCTTTGGAAAAAAGGAATGAATTGAGGCCGATCCGCACATTTATATTTCTCCAGCCAAAAACATCGATTGCTGCCAGATTGCTCCGTAGTGTGCAGGACTTAGTATTTTCAATCATAGAATAGATATGAGGGGCCGTAAGAAGGTCAAGCCGTGAGTCAACGCGGGGTAGCAGAATGTATGACCGGTCCTCACATAGCCAAACACGCAAAAGGCAACGACTCGAACGTCGAACAGACACCAAAACAGCGAGATAAGCCTGAAATTTTTCCTGATAAAGGCGTTTGGGATGGCGGTGCTGTTGTCGGTAATGCATCGGCAATGGTGTTGCTGCCAGCGGCGAAGAGTGCGCACATGAACGAAAACGCGCCAACTCAGTGCGTGCCTCTTGGTCTATGAGGGGAGTTGGAACTTATCGGGGGGGTCTGGAGGGGGCGGAGCCTCCCACCCACACACCGCCTCACACTTAAGGAATAAATTACGACGACCCTAGCACCTTTGTTACTTAGGTTGGAATAAATTGAGACCCGCCCTAAATGAAAAAAATCACTGGTCTGCGGAGCAGCAGCAGCAGCAGTGCAGCACCACCACTCATGAGCCTTCACTTTGGTCGCGGTTTTGACTGTCTAATTTGTATATCAGTCTCTAGTGCAGTGCACGGCCAGCTGGCCCGATGGCTCTATTCTTCGGGAGTCTGGAGCCCACTGTAACAATCACGCACACACGCGCACGCAGTAGGTGTTGTGCGAAGATTTAAGCATGCGATGGGCATATGCGAAGAGGAGACATTTGCATGCGTACATGTCTTTAAACCTTTCAAACCCAAAAATAAAATTGAAGGAAGGTAATTTATTCTCCGATTCTGTTGAGACATTCCGTAAATCTTTTGCTTACCTAGCTTTAGTAACCTTCAGATAGCGGTGTTTTTAAATCATGTTTTGTTTTGTAATAAAGCTGCATGTTCCATCATCTATTTCAACGCAGTCACCTTGATGAAAATGAGAGTTCTTGTTACCTTCGCCCACGAAGAGAAATTATGGGGTACACCTTAACTACCCGCTGAGCTCTTCTCCTCCTAAGGCCTCCTAGGGCGAGATTTCCCCGCTCCAGATCTGTAAACTTCCCCCAAACACCCGTCCTCTTCCACATCCTTGTTCAAGGTCTGTGCCGGAAATTATCGAGCTCGCGGATGCCATAAGAAATTGCGGCGGGGATAAGGACGAGCTGTACAAGGCGCAGGTGGCGGCAAGGCGGCCGGTGGCGGCGGCGGCGGCGGCTGCTCAGCGACCCAAGTGGGCGCGCGGCGACTTCCCCGTCAAACTCTCAATGTACATGTCACCCGAGCTAGAGGCTGAGGAGATCGCGAAACAAATCTCCAATTGTGTACGAGCAGGCCAGCGCAGCGGTGGCGACGGTAACGAGCTAGGCGACATCGCGGTACTGTACCGCCGGCGGAGCCAGTCGAGGCCGTTCGAGGAAGAGTTGACAAGGCGGGGCGTAAAGTACACAGTGGTGGGCGGACAACCATTTTGGGAGTACAAGGTGCGGTGTACGATTTTTGCATGGCGGCGGTTGATTGGCAGTTGGCGGTTGGCGCTTCATTTAACTTGCCCCCCGGTTTGCGTCATTGCGTGTATGTGTTTCGTCCCCCGGGCATTCACCCCGCCCCGCCCCCGTCTCCCCCCGGGCTTTTCCAGGAGATCGCAGACGCCGTGGCGTATTTGCACCTCATCCTGGCGCCCACGCAAAGTGACGTGTTTCTGGAGCGAGTCATAAACACCCCCAAAAGAGGCCTGGGTGAGTGAAAGGGTGGGGGGTATTTGGGACATGTCCGTTGCCCTGCCCATCAAGGCTCCATGCAGCTGTACCACCTTTGCAGCTTATACTGCCGTACGCTTTATAATGCTGCCGTACCACCTACGCCTCATACGGCTCCTCGGTGGTCGCATAGGTCATAGCTAGAGTCCTCCGCCAAGTCTCCTTTCCCCCCGTTCATCGGATATCCCACCCCGCCTCCTCGCCGCCTTCATTTCCCACCTTTCTTCCCGAATTTGCTGTCTTCCCAATCTGCTGTCTGCTAGGACCCCGTACCGTTAAACAGTTGCAACTTGCGGCACGGACCAGCGGGATGACCCTGGGCGAGCTGCTGTTCGGCGGCAGCAGCAGCGGTAGCAGTGGCAACGGCGGCGGCAGCGGGAGCAGTGTTGAGGCGGACTTTGCTAAAGGTACTAACTACCTGGCCGTTGTAGAGGGGCCCCTTCCCCCCCCCCCCCGGGGGCGGACACAGTACCGCTGTTGTCGCTGCTACGTCGCTTCCGTCGCTTCCGCGCCATCCCTGTCTCCGACTTTTGGTGCAGGTGTTGACCCAGCAGACGTTCCTTCTGGCAGCGCCGCCTTGCTGGCAACAGTCAAACTGACAAAAACGGCACGCAAGGGCATTCAGGTTGGTTGATTAGTTGGTTGACGGGTAATTGAGAGCTGTCTTCCGACCTGCGAAAAGTAAAAAGCAGCTGGGCAGCAGACAACGTTGTCTAAAGGCGTCTGTATGTGCATGTGTGCGTGGATTTGTGCACATGCCAATGCGTGTCTGATGCCGTACATGGAAACTTGCGAAAATCGCAGCAGCTCGCAGCATGTCCTGCAGCAGCATTTCACGTAGCGGCAACAGTCCCAATTTAAGGTTTTTTTAAACATCTTTTTAAGGCAGGATTTTTGATCTTGTTTTGTATGTTCGTTAGTACAAGATGCCGTACAGTGTTTGTCCGAGAAATTTTAAAGTTTTAGGCAAGATAGTCATCAATATTTTCTCTGAATAGTAGAATGAATAGGCAGCCAGCGATGTAACTATCGAACGGCAATTCGGCTAACTCTCCACGCGAATCCCTTAGAACATCCCATGTCCCCGCAAAACCCCCCCAGCGAACCCCGATTTCCCGAACCCCAAAACAGGCCAAATCCCCCCCAACCCACATCGGAATCGCCCGCCTCCATTTGTCGTACGCCGTACATCGTAGGATCTCCGCGATCTAGTGTATAAGCTTCGCGCCTTGGCGGCTGACGACGCTTCTGTGGACCGCTTGGTGGATAAGGCCCTGGAGCTGTCCGGCTACCGCGCGATGCTGCTGGCGAAGCAGCACTTGGTTGACGTGAGAGAGGTTGATGGCAGCGACGAGGAAAAGACGACGAAGAAAATGGAGGAGGACGCAGAGGGTGAGTTGGGCGCCTGTTTAGGAGACCCGACGTACTCGGGAGTCAGAGTTGGGCTGTTGGGAAAAGCCAACAAAGCAACGATAGTTATTCGCATTTTTTATTTCATTTACAGAGAGGACCGTAATATATTTTTATAAGAGAGAGAGGGGCTCCTGGAAATGGATGTGTCAGGTACCTAAAGGCCGATGCGAAGTGATAGAAGGCTAGGAGAGCAACCCGACAGCTTCGGACGACGGGGGGAGAAACTTTAATTGATTAATTAATTAAAGATTGCCTAATCAGGATATCGGAACTACACTATCCACTTTCCTTTTCCTCTCAGAGGCGGAGGATCGGTTGGAGCGGTTGCAGATGCTTATTGACTTGGCTGCTCGCCCAGAAGTCTGGCGGTATACAGCCGTGGATTACGAAGATGAAGATGAAGATGAAGGGCGGGAGGGGGAATTTCTGGGCGACAGGGAAGAGGGGCGCTTGGTGGGCAATTCGCTGCCACCATCATCGTCATCGTCATCGCTAGCCGCCGCCGCCGCCGCCGCAGCAGCAGGTGGTGGTGCAGACGGTGCAGGACAGCGAAGCGCGAGAGGGCAGCGGCGGCAGCAATCCTCTCTCGGAACGGGGCTGAGGGGCCTGGCCGGCTTTCTGGAACACGCTGCCCTCTTTATGGCTGAGGATACGGTGGGTGCCTGGTGCCGTGCCGCTACTGCTACTGGTCAATTCAAAACTGCTGCTGCCCGTTGCTGCTGCTGCTGCTGCTGCCCGTTGCTGCTGCTGCTGCTGCCCGTTGCTTGTTTCACCGCTGATACTGGTGCTATTGCTGCTGGTGTTGGGTGTTGGTGTTGGTGTTGTCATTTTTTGGCTGGCCTTCTGATACCGTGGGCTATAGTAATTAAGGCGCTGCTATCTACCCAAAGCCAATTTCGCCACTTTATTAGCCGCCATCATCATCCTAGAACCCTAAAACGTTAAACCTCCGGGAGAGCTGTGGTTTTTTAATCCTTGGTATATTTCCCATGACCCCCTTCTTTCCCCGTTCTCACCACCCCCATTGTTATTGGTCGTTCATTCCTGGCCAGTAACTTTTACTACTCGTTAATTTTTAAATGTTTAGCTTTGCAGGAGCAGAATGTAAGCTTGATAGCAAGGGGTATATAGATCGATGTATTTTGAGGCTTCCTTGTACACTAGGGCGAATTTTGACAAACATTCCTGTCGTGCAGTATCTGTCTATCTCTCAATCGCCAGCGGTACCCCCCCCCGGTTACCTCCCCCCCGTTACTTTTCCACGGTGCGCACGGTTTGGCGGGAGCCATACGTGGCCCCGACCCTCGCACTGTTTTTTGCTTTTTGTTTTTTGCTTTTTGTTTTTTCTTTTTTTCTTTTTGGTTTTTTTACCTTTTTGCTTTTACCCTGTTTCGCCTTTTGTGCATTGCGTCATCATTCCCTCATCCGGTACGACACTTCGCTTTGTGTTTCCTTCCTTAAGCGTTTCCTTTTCCTTAAATTTTCCTTTTTAGTCAAAATTTCAAATCAGCCAGCCAGCTACTAGTATTCCTCAGCAGCATTTGCATGTCCCCCTGTCCTTTATCGCACCTGCCTCACCTCTTTGTTCCCTTTTGTTTTTGCATGTGCCTTTTGCCACTTCTTCGGCGGCCTGGCCAGGTGAGTCCAAAAAGGTGGTTCGAGCTTCTTTGGTTTTTCGTGTTGGCGTCGGTAGGCTAGCCGGAATAGTTTAGTTTGGGTCGGTCGGGTTAGTCGCGCGTTCTAGTTTTTTTGGGGGGTTGGGAGGAACACTTGCATACCGGCAGCCTATCAGTATCAGCAATGCAGCTTTCTCTCCTAGCCAGCAACTTTACGCCACTTTTACGTCAGCATTTTTTTCTCGCCGCCTTCTCTACTTCTTCTACACCTACTAGTTTACGGTTTGGCTATAATATTTCTGGCGGCTTAGGTAGGTAGGACCTCCAACATCTTCGTCAATTCTTCATCCCGAGGTTACAGTCGTCATCCCGAGGTTACAGTCGTCACAGTCGCCACGGACGCCTTTCGGTCAGTTCTTTCGGTTGCTACTATCTTGCCCTGGCAGCAGCTTCAATCGCGTGTGGTTCGTCTTTCCCCCCCTACACTCCCACCTACACTCGCACCCTTACACTCCCCCTTACACTCCCACCCCCCTACACTCTCCCCCCTCGTCTTACCTTCCCCCCAGGGTTCAGGAGACGAGCGCAATGCTGTCCGGCTGATGACGTTGCACTCTTCCAAGGGCCTTGAATTCAATTGTGTATTCATCGTTGGACTTGAGGTTGGTACATCTGGGGATGTGGATGGGAAGCAAAATATTGCAAAGGAGTCAAGATTTGACCCCGTGCTTAATGAGGCCATGACACGATAAGAGATGCAAACGGCTATATATATTTTTTAGGGTCTAGTATATATATATTTTTTTTTTGTTGTGAATTGTTCGAAGCAGTAAAAAATTATATATATATATTTATATATATATATTTATATATAAAATTATAAGATATTATATCTATCTATCTATTATATCTATTATATATTTATATATAAAATTATAAAATATATATCTATCATATAAAACCCTAAAACCCTAACTATCTATTATATCTATCTATATATTTATATATAAAATTATAAAATATATAAAACCCTAAAACCCTAATATATATATTTATATATATTTAATTTTATATATTTATTATATATATAATAAAAAAATATATGTTTTTTACTGCTTCGAACAATTCACAACACCACAAAAATTCATGCATGAATTTTACATACATATATACATACATGTATGTAAAATTCATGCATGAATTTTTGTGGTGTTGTGGATTGTTCGAAGCAGTAAAAAAGCATATATTTTTTTATTATATATCCCTATATATATTATATCCCCATATATATAGGGGATTAGGATATTATTTTTAAAAATTAATTAATTTACATACGTGCCGTTTCCGTTGATTAATGCACGGCACAGGACGGCATACTGCCCGACGTTCGATCGGACATCACGGAGGAGCGGAGGCTCTTTTATGTGGGCGTTACGCGGGCAATGGACAAGCTATTCTTGTCGCGCTGCAAGGTCTGTACTTCCTGCTATGGCCGATGGCAAGATTATGTGCAAGTTCCCAATTAAAAAGAATATGAAATACCAAATCCTTAAATTAATGAGCTTAGGGTTTAAGGCAACATTCCTAATTGCTCATATTTCCGGTAAAACCCTAAAAATTGTGCTTTTCTAGATATGACCGATTGTGTGGTTGCATTTCCAGGTTGATTTAAAAGCAGTAGTTTTTGGATGGTTCAGATGCATGCATGTGTGTGGAAACATGTGTGCACGTGCAGCTTCAACCTTAATGTTACGTCGTGGCTGGTCTAATTATCGCTCCTGATTTTACTCACAAATTGCCGTACGTTTCCCCTGCACCGTAGACTCGCGCCCAGTACGGCAGATCCAGAGAGTCGTCACAACCGTCACCTTTTTACATGGAGGTTAGCAGGTGGTTAGCGGCGTACGAAATGCACGACCTAGTACAGAATTGTACGGCGCTGTAAAGGTGATTGTACTGCCGGCCGCGAGGTGCTCTTCAATGCGAATTTGGCATCTGGGTGCCGCATCAGGGGGGTTTGTACGACGCCGAGGCGGCAGCGGCGGCAGCAGCTGCATTGGCGCCTTTCCTTGGTAGCGTTGGGCCCTCCCTGGATATCCCTTTGGGTTCGCAGCCGCCATAGATCTGATCGAAATGTGGCGTCTTCTTCTCCACTTAAATTGAGTTGTCGGTTACTACCGGTTTGGCGGTTGCCTGGTTGCCTGTTTTGGCTTGGTTGCCTATTTGGACTTTTGCCGCGCACCGTTTGGCTTCGGGGCATACACGCAGGGGGACAGAGTTATCCTGCTGCGCAATACCGTACTACGTTTGAGGATGAGGGGAGGGAAGGGAAGCTGTTGTTGAAAAAGCAATACAGTCGACCGACGAGCGCCTGGTGTGCTGTATAGCCTGGATTCTTTAGTGCACGGCACTGTACAGTGCATAGGTGAAGAGGGATGGCGGGGGGAATAAAGGATGTCATCGGAGCCGAGCTCGAGTTGCATAGGACTGGCCAGAGCCCTCTTTATGTCTATATGAGAGCATCGAGGCCTGCGCAGACGAAATGTTGAAGTCCTGGGCCGCTGGTCTGCAGGCGATGGTATATATGTGCGGGACAGGGAAAGGTATGTATGCATGTGCGAAAGACGGGAGTGGTCTCTGGGCCTGCACGTAATTAGGTCATCGCTTCGCCCTCGCCTTTCGCGAAATTCTTGAGGTGGCTGTACAGCAGAAAACGAGGAAAGGTGTGCGGTACGGCGGCTGGATGACATCTGCCGTACATTTTCTGATCACCTTTCAGTTTACTACCCTTGTGTCCAATTTTATCCCGTTGTGCATTTTATTTTGCCAGGACATTAGCATGGCTGGATGCTTGAAGGGAAGTGCGTTTACGCTGAGAAACATTTGATTCCCTAAACGACAGCGGGGCCCTGTCCAAGTTTCCTTAAATTGGCTGTATACTTGATATAAAAAGGTGTCAACTACGGAATAAAAAGGGATTTTAGGGCACCGATGCGGTCGCTTGCCACCGCTTCGCCGGGTCACATCGTCGAATGCTTTCATCAACATGCGCGCATATAGCGCAACGAATTCGTCGATTCTGGTTTCGTACTCAGGCATTGCCCAAGCAGGAGCCGCGATGCCTGTATCAAGGGTTTTCACAATACAATGAGGTCGTAACGGTGCTGGAGGCAAGTTCTGTTTGACGATGTGCAGCACCGTGATGAGATAAAGTCGAAGTCCCTGCCCTGTTCATTTCGCGACAGATTCCTGCGAACCCTGTTCAGCCGCACCATCAGCCGCTGGCGGGGTCCAGGGTCCTGCTCCTCGACCGCACAGGCAAGCAGTTGGACGGCAAGAGCTTAATTGGAAGTAGCAGCATAAATATTAAGTTGAGGTCTATCCCTGACGACTGTTTTGCACGGACAAGGAAAAGCAGGTTGTTAATCGGCGCCTGGGTGTTGCGCTTGACCGACTGCGCACTAACGTTGCTGCTTCTCAGGCGTTACAGGCGGTGAAGTCTAGCATATTTGTATCACCCAGCACCCTCCGACCTGATGGGAGCTGTATATGCAGATCATGTGGTGGCGTGTGCGCCAAAGCCTAGCCATTCACAATCCTCGACTTCCCAGTCATACAATACATGGATTCGCCTTGGCTGTGCACAAGGGCGCATTTAATTTAGGGTTTAAGCTTTCTGCATCACCGCACTTCGTTCCCTGCTGACCTCGGCCCTAGTAAATGAATTAGTCGGACTTATCATCATGGGACTGCCCAGCCTTCGCTCCGTGTTGCACGCTGCTGTGGCCCATCGGTATCGTATTGTGGTTTGCTCTAAAGAGCACAGCACAGCAAGCTGTTACTAGCGGTCGGTGTCACTACATTTTGATGCACGTGTTTTTCTTCTATTACACGGCGTTACGCACAAGAATGAAAAAAAACACGGAAACCTTTTTTTCGAGTTTTCTTTTTCGGGGATCATCGTAGCGCTACGAACCGTGCCACAGACCGGCTGCTATCTTTCCGCTTCCCCTTCCCATACACACAAACATGCTTGCCATCAGCAGCCTCTTTGTTGCGGCCTGTTCCTTCGGCCCCAATACCCGCTGTTGATATTCTGATGCTCTCTCTCCGCGTGTGTGTACGGCACCACCCGCTCGTGCTGTGTCGCTCCCAACCGCAGGGAACATACACAGGTGGGCCCGGGGGGAGAGAGAGAAAGGAGACGTGGTGTGCGTGTGCGTGTATGTATGTATGTATGTAGGTATGTAGGTATGTAGGTTAGGGTTGCCCTGTTTGGGGTTCATCGTTACTGGTGACTATCACGTCGTACACTACACGACATCATCGCCACCACCACCATCGGCACCACCATCACAATCACAATCACCACCACGATCACCCCCATTACCATCACCATCATCACCATCGTCATTAGCCCGTTGTCTACCTCCCCCTGGTGTATTACGCAATGTTGTGTTATGCAGTGTTTACCGGCCGGACCGTGTTCTGACATCCGCGTACTGGGACGTCTTGGCCACGTTGCCCTCCCTCGTACCCCCGGGGCCTCTGGGGCTGCTAGGACTGGTGCGGGGGCCCCCGCGTGCAAGATTCTGTGTGTGTTTATATGTGTGTTCGGGGGGGAGAGACGAACCACGAGAGAATGAAGCTGATGCCTAGGAAAGAGTGGAGAGTTGCGTGTGTATGTATATTTGTATGCATGTGTTGTATTTTTAGGGAACACGGCTTGAAAGGAAGGTGCGGGATTCCACTACTGCAGTAGAGAAGTAAAGTGCGTAAAGGACGTATGTGCATGTATGTATGTGCGTATATATGTGCATGCCGCGAGTTCAATGCGCATCATCATCATCAGCAGCAGCAGCAGCAGCGTGTTTTGACTGTGTGTCGTACAGTGTATCCCTCCCAACGTTCACCTGTCACCATCTCTGTCCCGTCCGACAGGGCGCCGGCACCATTCCAAGAATCATTGGAGCACACTACCCCTGTCGTACATTACGGGACGACGATGACGGCAGCAGCGCCGCTACTGCCGCTGCGGCTGGGGAGGACGGCAACGACCAAAACGACCGGTTCGTTGTCCACGGTTGGGAGTTGGATCCCGGGGTGGTTATGGCGAGCCGGCTTTATCTGGGAATGGACGAGCTGGAGATTAATGGAGTGCTGGTACGGCAAACATTTGTACTTTGTACTTTGGAAAAGCTTGCCTTCCTATCAACTACCAGCCACAACACTTTACCACTCCAGGAGTCCGTTAGTTTAGTTATACAGTTGCAATTGCAAAACCGTACAATAACAGAATACGAGATCCTTGTGTCGCCACTCATGCACCCCCTACCCTACTACACAGCCCACACACACATACACACACACTCTCCCCCCCTTCCTCCCCCCTCCCCCCCATGGACGCCTTTCGGTCAGTTTTTACGTTTGCTACTCTCTTGCCCTGGCAGCAGCTTCAATCGTGTGTGGTTCGTCTTTCCCCCTCCCCCCCCCTTCCTCCCCCCCTTCCCCCCTTCCCCCCCTTCCTCCCCCCCTCCCACACACACACTCCTTTCAGATAACACACACCGGAGATGCGCTGTCCTCGACTTCCTCCGTGCCGGGCGGCTTCACTGGCGTCATTGTGGACCTCTTCGCGGGGGGAAAATTGCTTCCGCAGCTTACAAAGGTACGGAAACGTCGTAAGGAAGGTACGGAAGCTATCGCTGCATTTCCAAACAGCGCTTCTGCCAACCCCCTTCCCCTCCCTTCCCCTCCCTTCCGCTCCCTCTCTCTCCCCCCCGCCCGCTTTGACGCCCTTCCCCCCCCCCAGCGGGTGACCTGGGAGGGTATTCGCGACCGGTTGATGATGACGTCCGCGGACAGCGTGGCGGGTACTTCCCCCTCCTCCCCCGGCCTCTGCCCCCGGGTGATGGCCAACCTAGGCCAGGCGCCACCTGCCGTACCCGGTGTACGATGGCAGCCGGAGGCCTACACAACATTGCGAGCGTACGAGGCAATGGAAGCGGCGTTCGACGGTAAGACAGTTGTGTGTTTGTGTGTGTACCTGTTCCATGTCAATCCGGCGGCTTGACGCTGGCCAGGGGGGGCACCTAACCGTATACCCCAACGGGAACAGTTATCGCCGAAGCACTCCCATCATTGACGAGGCGTTATATTACATCGATCAGAGTCCTAACCGTTTTCCCTTATAAACGGATGGCGCCGTCACCTGTTCGAATCCTCTAGCCACCTATTCATACACACCAGCTCAGATGCCAAGCAACCTTCGCTCCACCGAGCGAGGGGAGGGCAGAATCAAGGAGAGTCGGGGGAGTCGGGGGTGAAAAGGATGGATGGCGGGGGAGGGCCTGGAAAACACATCCATGCCTGACCCACGTGACCCACGTGACCCGCAACACGTCCTTTCTCGCAGCTCTAGATGAATATGGCCCTGCTGTGTTTCTCCGCCACTACCACGGCCTTCCATCCGACCCCCTGCCTCACCGGCATCCATTTGCTTTACATCGTCCTCCTCTACCTCCTTACCTTCCTACCTCTCTTGCCACTTTCCACCTTCCCCATCCCACCTCCCTACCCTCCTCCCCCTCCTCCTCCCCCCCCTCACCCCCCTGATGCCACCGCTCCAGGAGAGGTCTCGCTCCTGACTGTTGAGGACAACACCATCGCCCTGAGCGGCCCCCTTCCGTCTCGTCAGCAGTGGCCACGTCAGCTCCCCCCGGGGCTCACGCACGTGGCCCAGCAGGCGAGGGGGAGCTGGGCCAGGGACGTATACCCGCTGCAGACAACCGCGGTCAGCTTGTCACGCTGGTGATGTAGTAGACTTGATGATGCACGACCACGCAGCTCGCAGCAACCCCCCTGGACCGCCATGACTGGTTTGCTTTCGCCTCGTGGGCGGGTGAGTGGGTGGGCGGGTGGGTGCAGCATTGCACAGCTCGGACTGTACCCCGCAGGATGTCAACCTGGAGGTTGTGGGAAAATACGGCACATATATTAATGGCGGGAAGCGCAACTTGACTGGGGTTAAGGGGTTGCTGGTGTGTGTTTCGCGAGTATGCAGGGGCACGCCCGCCCGCTCATGAGCAAGTTTCTTTTTTGATTCTCTTTTGATTCTGCTGGGGACCGAATGATTCTGTCCAAACGGGAGACCCAGTATGTTTCGGGTGAGGCCTTGCTAGTGTATATGCCCCCGTAATAACCTGGTTAGGGAATGCTATCAGGATTAGTGATGGCTTATTCATCGGCATTAACTGGTTTATCATCGTCAATTTTGGGATACTTTAAAACTTATATGTTGAGAAATATGTTTTGGTACGACAAGGTAAAGATCTGCGGGTGCTTGGGTGCGAAGGGGCGGCATGAGTCGACTTCTTTTTAAAGGTTTTTTATTTTGTGTGTGTGTTGGGGGGAGGAAGGGGGTAGGGGTACCGAAGGTGAAAACAAAATTATTTTTTGTGAATGAAATAATGGCATTTCCAGGTTTATCAGCAGGCGATAATTAGTAAAAGGTTAACAGATGGGACGATGGGTCACTCTACCGATGGGCTACCGGCAGCCAATTCTGTTACCGGCCGGGACTAAACTCGGTTCACCGTAACGACACCTGCTTAGCATCCTTTTGAAATAATACGTAATCCGTGGATACTCTCGTTATGGGCGGTGCCTCAAAGATTAGCTTCATTTTTTAGAGCTGTGAATTAGGGCAGGGGTGTCAGGCCTGCCTGCTGAGCTGCTGCTAGCTATTGTGCCGGCTGGTGCATGTTGACAGGAGATGAAGCTTTCCTACCAAGACTGCCCACGTTTACATCTTTAGATTGGATGTACACATACGCTGTGCAGATGTAAATTCCAAATCTTGGACCAAATAAAACCAACAGCTTTAGCAGTAGCGTTTAGCTACACGCACTTCCAACAGGTAAAACCAGCAAATACATAAAAAAAATTCAAAATCATAATCCAGATTAACACCATCCTGCCGTTCGAGGCCTGAGATCAACACATCTTTTGCACAAACCTTTATCCGGCGCGAAGTTTTGCGAAGCTACCAATCATCAGCCGCGTTCCTAATTAAATCCAAGCTCTCCTGCTTTTAGCTTCTGCTGGAGGGCCACCGTGGCGATCGATGACATCCAGACTCCCTAATCCGGGAATATGAATGCATACTCCATAACGCCCATCCACGACCCACAAGTACGACGGCCATGAACAAGCCCCGAACATAATTCGGATATGTATCCGGAAATAAAAATCCATAAGCCACTACCACGCAAGGCATCCCACCCATCTTGTCTCACACAAAAGAAGAATGCCAGTTAAGGGATAATTTTTTGTCGAAACGCGGACCAGAACACGACGAGTTGCTAGCTATCGACCAGGTCCATCACTGACGTGGCTAACATATCTGACCCCGTCATCCTGCAATTCAGCACAATAAAACACTGCCAACTGTTTACGAACCTTGCGGTTAGAGGGCCGAGAGTCGATTTGCCGGCCTTTGCTGGCCTCCCGAGTACGGGAGGCAGGCAGAGGGTTGGAAGCAACGCGCACCACTCTCCTGTTCCTTCCGCACCACCACCCCTCACAGCCATGCGCACACACATGCATTCATACACACAAACCCTAAGCCAGGAACGGGGTATTATCCGTACACCCGCACACGGGAGTGCCCGCCAGTGATCCCGGTAGGATCATGCATACACACGCATACATACATACATACATGCATGCAAACAAACATACATGCATACATGCATGCATACACACACATGAAGCGCGCTGTTTGCTGCTTTTCCAGCATCGATCGGCGTCGCCCAAGGCAATCAGGGTTCTCCCACCTCCCCGGACGAGAGGCTGCTGGTCGGTCGCTGTCTGATTCAGCTTTTAGCACAGCTTAAGCAGCAATGGGAGCCACCTCCCCCTCCCCCTCCCCCTCCTCCTTCCCACCCCCCGTTAGCAGGCTCCCAATGGCAGCAGCCGTTCATTTAGGGGCCACATTTAGGACCCAGGACACCAAGGGGGGGGACCCCAGGGCCCCCAGTCTTATTAGAACCAACAAACCATCGCGGGCGGGGCGTGATGAGCACGAGGGGACTATGAACCCAACAGGAAGCGGGGGCAGGGGGGTAATTGGATTTGGCGTCAGATTGATGATCGGGCTCATTCGAGGAGTGTACGCCAGGAGGACTCGCGGTTCGGGTGACGATGATCAGTCCCGTGCTGCTTAGTGACGGTCAAATGAGACCATGTTGATAATCCTAGAGCGTGGTACACATAGGTAAGAGGCAAACAGACAGACAGACAGACAGACAGACAGATACACGCACAGATAATAAATGCATCACCTCATCCCAACCTCACCGCAGCATCCACAGCCGCAGCACGGAATGAACTGCTCTTATAACTGAGCTCGTCTGGTGGTTCACTATTCAAAATATTGAATTATGGTTGGTTGTACAGCCATCCTAACAACCAACTTCCAACTCCGAGCATCACCGACATCCGTCGGACCGAGGTGCAACAGAGCAGTTGGTTCGCGATGCACAGTAAAAAAAAACCCTAAGAAGGAAAAGATGTCCTTGTAGCCGTTACTGCAAGAAAGCTCCTCCCCAAAAATGGCGGCCTTCTTCTTACGACACAACCAACAGGAGGATGACAGACGGAAAATGTACGTAGCTGCAAAACGTTGAGACAGTTAGCTGCTTGCTCCCCCGGGCCCCCAATCCCCCACACGCAGCCTCACAACCTCACCCCCTGCCGCTCACCTGGGACGATATCCGTAATAGACCACCACCACCACCAACAACAACAACAACAACAACAACAGCAACAGCGACAACAATCATTTCACATGTAAATCCGCGCCTCTCCTATGCCGCATCGGCATTGTGTGTGCACACACACGTCTGCGCACATCTGCACACACACTCGCAGCATCTAAGTTGTGGCCCAAAACGTTACCACCAAAACGCAACTCCAAAAGGTGTAGCACACATACATATATATACAGATAGACATAACATATGATGACACGACACCATATTCTGACGGTACGCAAATGTCCAGTAGTGTGCATCACTCTCCCCCCGTCCCGTGTCCCCGTCCTCCAAAGACCCTTCCCCTTCCCCTCCATCTTCCTGCACAACTACCATTACAATTTCATCATCATCATCATCCATCACTACCATTACATAATTTATGTAATCATCATCAGCAGCAGCAGCATCGCAACAGCCACATCTCAGCCGCTGCTCAGCCGTTTTTCCCCACCCCCGGGGCGGCCCCCCCCCCCCACACACACGATAGCCACCGCAATATAATGGCAGCAGCAGTAGCAGCAGCGTGTTGCAGCAAAGCATAGTGGTGGTGCCGACTGGTGCATCCTCTACCTGCCTAGAACTTCCGCCGCGTAGTCAATCAACTTCGAAAAACTCAAAAAAAAGTAACCTCAGCACCAACAGCACCAACAACGACAGCAACACGCAAATGGACCGCGAAAAAAAGGAAAACTAATCAGCTTTCCGTCACTTCTTCTACACGTCTGTATGCCCGGATGGACATAACATTCCTTCCGCCGGTTTTGCCAGTAACGGGTAACCAGTAGTCCAAGAACAGTCCCAACGGCCCAGCACCACCCCCTAAATTAGGCAAAACCAATAGAGGATTGCCTGACGAGGCAATGACGAAATCCACCTCCAAACAGCCACCGCCACAAGGTATATTATATTATTATTATAAGTACTATGCGCCCACCATCCTCCTGCATGTAAAAGGCCCCGCGCCGGGTCGCGAGCACACGCGGGGGAAAGACGAATCACAGACGAATTACAGGCCGTGTGATGCTGATACCAGAGACAAACACTGAGGTCTGCTCGCGCGAGGCTTATCATGGCTGTGGCGGAGGCGATGGCGACGGCGGTGGTGGTGGCCGTGGCTGTGGTGGTGGTGTTGAACAGGTTTGATCACCTGGCGATGGTGATGATGATGATGATGATGATGCCATGTTGGCGACAGCATAGCCAAAGGGCGTGCCATACATGTCCGGCGATTCCTGAGCCAAGTCCCCTCCAGCAGCAGCAGCAGCAGCACTAGGTTCAACAACACGACCAGGACCAGCGGCAGCAGCAGCAGCAGCTTGATGATTCGTTGCTGGTGGGGCCGGCACGTGCGGATGCGGCTGAGGGTGGCTCGAGTGTGGGTGGCCTGCCGCGGTGGGAGTGTGGACTGTGGGGAGTCGTCGAGACGAGACATCCAGCTCACGATCGTCCTCTTCCACCACCGCAAGCTGCGGTATTTTGATGTTTTTTGTGCGAATGTTGACAACAGGGTGGGCGGGGGGGAGGTTTTTGGGCGGGCAGGTACGTGGGTAGTTAGTAGTGTTCGTGTCGGAAAATTCCTAGTCGGTGGTGAAATTGTTGTGGAGCGGGACTAAGATTTTGAGGTTTGGAAATACCAGGGAAAGGGATTCCCCTCGAAAAGTACCCTGCTACCACCTTACCGTCCTTTTTTTACGTGCACAAGCAGTGCATATTATATTTATCATTCATAAGTCCAATGGAAGTACGACATGGGAAGCAGTACCGTTAATGTACCCGTACGTACACGATGCTTCATATGCCGTCCTTATCCCCCCCTTTCCTTCGTCACGGTGCCTTTAAGACGGAAAAAAAGTGTCAATGCCCTCCCACCCCAAAAAATGCATGTACGGCATGTACGGCAAATCGCACCGGCGTCCGATGACTGCTCTTCGCAAATGCCCAATTGATCGGACTGCTGCCGCTGCTGCCGCCGCCGCCGAGGCCCATGCTGCCTGCAGTACGACGGTAAAGGTATAGATGTACGGAAAAAGATTTGTAAAGCGCCTTCCTTCTTTTCGTATGGTAAGTTAATCTAGAAGTGTGTGCTGCGTGCTGATGGTGCGAGCGAATACACAACAAAAGACAGCGTCATGCCGCTCAAAAAAAAGAAACAGACGTTCGCGTGTTTGCCTAGTAAGCATTTGTACCACGTACTAGCGCTACCCGTGGACTAGATGGTCCTTTACCGTAAAACGTACAAACAAACTTACAAACACACAAACATGAACACACATCAATGGGCTTGTGTAGCTTTTCCAATACCTCCCGGCCCCTGTATGTATGTGCGGTTCCCACCTGACAAACCCGCACTCATGTCGAACACGGGGTTGCACGTTAGTATTCCCTGTACGCATAGGACCAGAGACAGCAGTAGCAGCGGCAGTAGCAGCGGCAGTAGCAGCGGCAGCAACAGCAATGATAAAATGTGACAAGAGGACAGAGGATCCGTAAATCCAAAAGTCCACAACCTAAGTTAACCAACCAATGGACGAGCAAGTAAGACGAGCCAAAGAGTCCTTCGGCATCATATCTGTTACTGACTTTTTTCATGAGAAACAAACAATCATGACTTGCATGACTGCCCTGCATGACTAATCCCACCCTGAATTTCAAATTCAAACCACTTTTGTTTCGTGTAATTAATCCGGCATTGGAACAGATAATGAAACCAAAACAGCTGCTGCTCACAAACAACAGAAGTAAGGAAAACAGCGTCGCGGCGGCATTCATCACACATGCATTCATGCAGATCGATATCAAAATCTCACACTAGTGACCCAAAAATAGTCACGTGAACGTCAACGCGAGGAAAGTGATCGTACTGTACGGCAGATACCTGAGGTGTGTCGAGCTTGGGCAGCGGCGGTGGCGCCGCCGGCGGCCCACCAATGTTGTACGACGCCAGCGGGGCCGCGGGGTCTCGAATCATTCCTCGCATGTCCGCCAGCCTCTCCAAAATCACCTCAAAGGTTGGCCTGTAGCCAGTTTTTAGGCAACAGCGGCGGCATGGACAGCCCCAAGCAGAGGGGGCATCAGCATCGGCATAAGCAGTAGCAACCTCGGGGCACGCATCCCACGTAAATTGGACCCCTCTCCGTACAGCTCGCTCCGAAAAAAAACGAATTCCGACAGTTAAGTCCGCACAGTAATCCGCATGTCAACACCTTAAGCAACCCAATCCCAACCAACAAACCATTCAACCAACGGAAACTTTAAAACCAGCTCTCCACACCAATCTCCCCCCCCCACACACACACCTGTCTTCGGGACGGTCCGCCCAGCACTCCTCAGCGAGACGAACGTAAGCCTCAGGCACGAAGGGAGGGAAGGCCGGGCGGCGGTGTTCCTGTGCAATCTGGTGCCCCAGCAGCGCCCTAGGTATACCTGCTCATGAGCGTCCCCGCGGGTATGTACGTATGTATGTCCACAAGGAATGTATCGTAATCATGTACATGTCCGTGACACGAGAGTGTTTGTGGTCATGGCATACGTGATGGTAAGTTTTTCGTTGCGTTGTATTCGTTGTATTCCAGACACGAAACGGGTATCAACGGTTTGAGGGTGCGTGTACGCATGTGCATAATGACAATAACAGAAGAAAAGTGAAAGGAAGGCATGTTTTATAGGATGAGGGTGCCGTACGAGTGCGGCAATCGTTAGAGTTCCAGTGACAGTAACGATAACGCACTGAGTTGACGCGCTATAAGTTGGGCGCGAGGGCTCTAATAAGAAGCATCAAAAGGCACTACGAGGAGAGGCGATATGAGAAATGGGAAGGCAGGGAGAGGACAGTGGGCTGCAATCAGCAGTAACCCGCCTGAGGACCTGCCCCTCCGACCCGCCCCTCCCCAGCCGAATGTAAAAAACTGGACTGCGTGTCCTGTAGGGCGTGTAGCATCATGCGAGATCTGACATCCGCCGATTGGTACTTGACTGTGTAGTCCTGATACAACAACACTGACAACCCACCTTGAAACGGATTGCCTCCCGTGAACAGCTCCCAAAGCGTTACCCCGAAGGCGTACACATCCCCCGCCTTGGACATGCGGCCATGAAGCAACAACTCTGTACCGGAGAGCACATATACATATATACACACAGAAAATTTTTTCCATAAACTCAGAGGTTTATTTTAAAAGTATGCAAATGGCCCAGAAGCCATCCATTCTGTAAACAACTACATAACGTAATTTGAATGCACGTGCAGGCACACACCCAAAAAATCACCGAATTGGCAGAACTGGGGGTTAAGGAGGTTAGCGGTGAGACGTTAATGAACTCAAAAGCACTTGACCGATGCACATAACACAAAGCGCACATACCCTCCCTCCCTCCCTTCCTCCCCCCTTCCCCGTCTGTGTGCGTGTGTGCTACCGACCTGGTGCCATGTGGGTCAGCGTACCCTGGAGGGGGGAAGAGAGGAAGGTGGGGGGGGAAGGGGGGAAGGTGGGGGGGGGAGAGGGAGGAAGGTGAGGGGGGGGAGAGGGAGGAAGGTGTGGGGGGGAGAAGGAGGAAGGTGGGGGGGGCAAAGGGGGGAAGGTGTGGGGGGGAAAGGGAGGAAGGTGAAGGGGGGGAGAGGGAGGAAGGTGGGGGGGGGAGAGGGAGGAAGGTGGTGGGGGGAGAGGGGGGAAAGGTGGGGGGGGAGAGGGGGGAAGGTGGGGAGGAGCAGAGCACAGATAGTGAGCACGGTACAGAGCAGACTAGGAGGTCAAGGACTAAGAGGGCAAAGAGGACAAGGAGGAGGAGACTAGGAAGAGGAGGAGGAGGAGGAGACATACATGCAGGCGTTTCCGCGGCGCACGGGTGAAGGACGTTACCTGGTACATTCCCGACATGTGGGTCTGCTCCACTGTATCGATCTTGACCGCCAGACCGAAGTCGGCGACTTTGCAAACCACACCGCGGCCCTCAGTGCCGCTGCTCTTGAGCATAACGTTGCGCGCCTACGAGACATGCACATTTTGCAAACACTGTTTTATAAAACAGATTGTACAGGTTACTCAGACAACACCACAACACCGAAAATAATTCCAACATGAAGAAAACAAAATGGAACAACAGGAAAACGTTTTTTTATTAATTAAGGTATGCGATCACTTCAAGCGTTAATTTAACAAAGAAGTTGACAACGGTGGCGTATGGATTATTTCGCATGCTTAGGCGTGCTTTATAAATCCGGAAACGAAATAAATCTGAAGTAAAAACCGAAGAAAGTTTTCGCAGCCAACAAACCTTTAAATCTCCGTGCAGCACATCAGCCAGGTGGAGGTGAAGCATCGCCTTGGCGATGTCGGCGGCGGTATCCAGCACGCCCGCGTAGTTGACGCCCGTGGTCGTTAGGAAAGCGTCGCCGTCCAGAGCATCCCGAAGACAGCCGCGGTCGCAAAACTCCAGGACCAGCCGCACCTGAGCACACCGGGACGCAATCCGACCAGGAAAGCAAAATTAAAAAGCGAGGTGCGAAATGAAAAAAGGTGGTTAAAAATGTTCTCGATGCTTCTTCGCATTACGTGAAAATCAGGAAAGGAGCTGTATCGGAGGCTGCGGTTTAAATTCAAAAACAAGCGGTAAACCATCACGCTCGTCTGGATCCAGGTCCAGATCGTCTGGTCAGCAGAATAATCATCATCATCAGCAGCAGCAGCAGCATAATCATCACCACCGGGTGCCGGCCCCCCGAGGCGAGGTGTCTGACCAAGATGTCTGATCAAGGTGTCTGACCAAGGTGTCTGACCAAGATCCGCAAAACATATCTCACATCACATGAACCACACAGAAAGATTTTAAAGTTCTTTTATACCAGGCAGAAACCAACACGCAATCCAAAGCAATCCTGAGCGTGAAGCCACCACCTCGCACCTCGTAACCGTGGACCGCCGGCGAATTGTTGTGCTGAGAAGGTTCGTCGAAGGTCTTGCCAGTGGGGCTCGCCTCCCCGCCTATGGTCGAGTTGTCGCCGGCGCCAACCAGGATGCCGTCCGTGGCTTGAGAAGTCTCGGAGTCGGACATTGCCTCCTCGCGAACCGTCTTGATGAAGTACGTGTACGTCTGTACGCATGTAAGCACGCATGCATGCTGTATATATGATGTGTGAAACAGGGGGGTGTATCTTCGCCCGTGGCAGCTACCCTGCGAAACCCTGCCTCCCCCGGAATTTCGGGGCACCCTCATCCAGTCACCCTGGTCAACTTCTCAGTGGATCGCTCAGGTTCTGCACCCACCACCAGCATCCAACGGAATCTGCCGGGTCGACAGTGGCCCAACTCCAGTCCTGGTCGACTCGCAGGTTAACTTTATCCCAGTTCACCACCGTCCATCAACTAGGGCCGCTTTACCTTCCACCATTGGAAGGGTTTTCGACCCTGACAGGCCTCAATCCCGGGACCTCTCGGGGGCATTGGTGCGTTCTCTACCAGTAGTGCCTAACCCAGACATGTATGTATGTATATATGTATGTATGTACGTGTGCATGTATGTACATGGTGGACAGCAGCCTGATGGGCGGTGGTGACATGTGTATTTGGGTCAAGTACCGAAATGGCATGCATACAGACAAACACACATACAGGTCCCTACCCGCACGATGACGTAATGGCGGGGATATCCCCGCCCACACACACGCCACTACAACC